ATTACCTCTATTCTGGAAGGTTTTATGTTTAAAGTCATATTCGTCTTGCACATCCTCTAGTGTCTTGATGTCTTGTTCTACATCCTATAAAGCATGAATGAAGACAGAACAATTACTGAATTTCACATTATGCAAGACTGTGTCTGACCAGGATCTGCCAACAAACTGTCAACAAGCACTTACACTGATGAATGTCTTTTCCTGGAATTCCCTAAGAGGAAATATTTCTAAAGTTAACCACTATCTAGTTACCTTCCCTCTCTCATTTCAGCAAACAAAAATCTGTCCATAATAAAACACAAATCCCTCAGTGCCTGGCCATACCAGTTGAGAGAACTTAGAAGAACCTAGGCTGCCATCTGGGACAGCATATGGCATCTTCAACTTTTTACAAACTCTTGAGAATTGCATGAAAAAAGCTTACTCTTGGGACTGTATTTATTAACTATACTAACAGGAGAAAAAAAATCTCTATCTTCTAGTAAACAAAGAAACGTCAATTTATGATCTTTCCTTGACTGCATAGTATTCCATATAGGTAACATGTTTTTATTGCTAAATTTAAGCACAAGAAATTTGATATTGCCACAATAGCCAAATCCCAATCCGTACTGCAGTGCTATTGACAAATAATGATTTGCTATGTATCAGTGACTGATCGTAGAGTAGAAAACAAAACAGTTGCCTAATTTAAGCTCGTTGTTTTAAAGAATGCTTCACACGCTGAAAACTCGTTAACATTTATGATTCAATAAGAACTACTTCAAATACAGCTGGAATCATGCTATACTTACTGTAACGCTGTTTTTTACAGCCTTAACTTTTGCATCAAGCTCCTTCTGTTTGTCCAGCATCCCAGTCATGGTGTTCTGTACACCTCCCACTTCCATCTGAGGTAGGCAAGCAGAACAAAATCAGAAGTCAAACAAGACTGAACTAACTAACAGCAAATGCTTCTTAATTAATGTCAGTTGGTGGCTTTTGTTGACAAACAGCCTAGTTGTGGTATTACTTGTTCTGATAAATCATAGTACTTTTTTATAAAAGTGACTTTGTGAGGAAAAAGCAAGGGTGATGAAATGTCTTTCATGCGGAGATGTTGCATGTTTTGTCATAGCAATAAAAAGCTATAAAAATTCTCTGCACAAATTCTTTTTGTTATATTTGCTTATCTTCATGTGTTTTCCAAATAAATTCCAGGAAAACAGCAACGCTGAAGCCTGGATCACATCTCCTTTAAATGTCAGACTTCATCCACTTGAGCTCTGGGGACAAAAGTGAGAGGCACAAGAACAAGAGAGGCTGGCATACAGGGTAATGCAGTGTGCAGTTTATTTCCTACAGGGCATTAAAGCAAACTTCAGATCTCAGCACTGGAAGGTTTCATTTCAGAAGCTCAGTGTGACTTCTCTCAGGGAGAGTTCCAGTAGTTTCAAAGACAGGATTTTTGTTCCACATGTAACTACTGTAAGTGTTAGAAACATAGTTTTGCCAATGCAGGCAACTTACAAACTGGTAAAGGTTCCCAACATAAGTTGAAATGGAACCATGATGGCAATCTGAGTATTGTCTAACAGGAGTGTCTCTCCTTATGGTGCTTATAAGTTCACTTGTTCTGGGAAATAAGAACCTTGACAAGAAATCAGAGGGTAGGCTATGGTGTTTCATGTAGTGCCAACGATATGTGGAAGAAGATTTATTTCCTTTTTTAAAATGATTATTAACAGAAACACATGGAATACCGAAAAGGAAGTTTTGGGTGCTTCATTTCATAAGTCAGCACAGAAACTGCCAGCTGCACTGCAGCTCTGAGGAAACTATTTGGGAACAGCTTTGCCAAAGTTGCATACTTAAGAGAGCTATTTCAGATACAGCTGCATTAGGATGATTGCTGAAAGCCTATGCTCCAATGCTCTTAGTTCTCTCTATAACACTATCAAAAATTTGCTGTAAAGGGAAGAATTTCTGTCTCAGAACAGGCTGTGCTCAGACAGTTATCGCTTTATTTCATTAGTAGATTGGACGTAGTACACAGCTTTCTTAACTGTGGATTTTTTTATTGCAACACAGTTCTTGGAAAGGAAAACCCAGACAGATGCACTGCCAAAGAACTGATGAGGAGAAGAATATGCTTTGCCTATGGTTCAGCGGTTCAGTTTCAAATAGATACATAAATATTGAGTGTAGCTGGGAAGGAAGAATAGCATTGCTTTGCAAGACAGTCCAGAGACCCACTAAAGCTCAGCTGCTCAATAAAGAGTGAATCAGGAATAAAAAGGAGAAGGAAGAAAGCTGAAATCTTGTTGGAGAAATAAGGCAAATGCTGTTTATTAAAATGTAATAAAATCTGATGAGCACCTTAGGCTATAGTAAAAATTAAAACCAGTTGTTCACATCGCTCAAAGAATCAAAATTACTTCCTGGCCCTTTCTGCCTCTGAATAGCTCATTCTACTCAAACCAGCTGGTATCCCAAGTAAAGGGCAGACACAACTGCAGCGGACGTTTCAAAACTGACTTACCTGATTAGACAATTGTGCACTGTTCAATATTTTCCTCTCCTCTTTCAGACAGTTATGGATGATCATTGCCATGACTATCGGGTCTTCTTGGAAGTTATCCTGGCATTAAATATGGGCTATTGTTAAATTTTATATGTGTAATCTCTTATATTTCATTTAATCAATTCACAAGAATAACACGTGTCTGGTTAAGCCTGAGTTGTATCTTGTTTCGAGACCACAAGGACTGCAACCACCTCTGAGAAGTAGTTTCTGCACCTGCTGTTTTACTTAGTTTTGTTAGGGTACAAAGAGTTGATGGGACTTGTCACACAACAATGAGAGAGGGCTGGAGATGTTACTGGAAGAAGGTAGAGAGCACACTATAGTCCTGGAGACAGTTTGTCCTCCCTCGAGAGCTACATTTCCACGCCTTGGAGGTATAGCTGCAGTTTCTGAAGAGGAGTTCTAGCTTGACAGGTACAGCTCTTGCTCAGGAAGATAAAGGAGGGATGTTGGCTGCCACTTGGCAATGCACAGACAAGGGAAGTAATGAAGTTCACAAATACATTCTGCAGTGCCATCCACTACCCAGTATAATATGATGTACAGATTCCTTGCTATTTATTGTGATTCTGTAGCTATATGTAATGATTTATTCTCCTGTGTTTCTTCTGCATCAGAGACTTCTCAAGACACTGAAGAAACTGCTTGGGGAAGGAATGGGGCAAGCAAAACTGCATTCCTGTAGGTACTCCAAATACACCAGTAAACACCTTACAAACCACAACTTCTGTTTCTTGAGTTCTCAGAAACCGTAACTGTACTGTTAATGAAACTAACTTTGTAACTGTGGCCAACTAAAAACAAAAATAAAAATGGAGTAGTGTTTGATTTCTGACTTTTAAAATTAGGGTACTCAAATACTCTCTGGAAAATCCCTCACGGCAGAATATTCTGCTTAGGGTCATCCAACTGCAGTATTGGAGGTATTTAAACATAGGTCAGGGCATACCTGAAGATTACGTTTGCTTTTCCTTATATTGTGTTGCAGCAAAAAGTTGTTTTCTATCAAAAATCGGCTAAATTGATCATCAAGCTGTGACAGCAGGTCATGGAATAGCACCGTAGCAAAAGATACATTGGTGGCTGCATGTTCCCTAGAATAAATTCAAAGTATGCTTGTGTTAAATACTTTCAAGCAGCATCCAAAATGCACTACAGAGAACGTTTTATTAATCCCCAACTCCAGTTGTAATACACGTGAGCAGGAAGAGCTGCTTTCAAACGTTAGGCTCATTCGCTCACCTTCTGCTTCGCTGTCCTTGATAGAGAACTGTTGCTATTCCTCTGTGCCACTCTTGCCACATTTTGTGTGACATCATTGACCCATTCCACGCACATCAGGAAGCTGGAAGTGACTGTGATGCATATGCACATTGTACAGTGCTAAACATACAACGTACATTTCCATAGAAATTTTGGAAAACAGTACCAAGTTGATGAATGGTGAGAGCCTGGGGTGCCAGGGAAACTGACTGCCTTAAAATAGCTGCTTTTGTTTGACATTAACTGAGGTAACAGTAAATGGTGTACTTGTTACTGTAGATGTAGGTTCCCCTTTGCAGACTAGATTCCCACCCCTTCTCAAGACGATTAGCTACACAGCTAAAAAGTGTCCTACCAGCAAAGGTGTCCTTACGTCTCCAGCAGCTTGCTTCCCCGCTACTTTTCTGCCATGTCAATCCATGTACCAGAATGTTTATTATCATATAACCCAGATGTCAGTTTTATGCTTACCAATCCTGGTTTTCCAGCCACTGTGCCAGATACTGCCTGATTTCCATAGGAAAGCTGTCATCGTACAGCTGGTGAACTTGCTCCAAAAACTTGGAGTCAAGTTGCTGTAGCTGGTACCACTGAGTCATCCTGGGAAGTGGGGAATAAAAGCAGTGTAAATGTAAATGCTTAAGTTAACATTAGAGCTGAACTGGTGAAAAATCACCCATTCTAAGTTCTCATTAAAATGGCAAAATTGGAGGTCAGGGTAAAATTGAAGGAAAAGTGTTCTAGAAAACAGAAGCATGTTCTGTTTTTAGATGAAATGGAACAAACTAACAACTGAAATATCATTCAACTTCTTCTGTGCTGTTTTTAATTATAAAAACTGAAAATTAAGACCGTCTTTACACTGGTTGCATCGACAGAAGTCAGTCAAAATTTAAACCACTCTTCCCTATGAAAAGTTGCATTTCTTTTCCCCTCTGAACACAGAATTTTCACAGCACTGAAAGTATCAGCGCTGCTCCGAGTTGTAGGGGAGATGTTAGGTCAGGGCTTGAAGTGGTGACGGAGCACCTGGAGAAGGGCAGTGGCTGCCCACGGAGCACAGATTGTTTGCACCTGTGATTCACAGCTGACCAGAAGGGGTGGGCTGAGAGGGGAGCCACCCATAGTTCATATAAAGGCCAGCCACTGAAGGAAGAGCATCTCTTAGACCTGGGTTGCTTCCTGGGGGATGCTGTATTGCCAGAGAACCCTTCACCAGCTGGGTGAGTCTGACTCTTCTTCCTATATGACTATTGGCTTACCTGTGCACGATTTGCTTGGTATTGTTGAGAACCTGTCAGAACCAGTGTTGCTTCTTTATATTCAGTCTAAGTCTCCCCTCTTTCAGTTTGATGCTTTTCCCCTCGTTCTGTCACAACAGACCCTGCTAAAAATCACAGCCTGCCAGGCTGTTCTCAGGTCCCCCCGGAGCCTTGTCCTACCCTCCCTAGGTCGTACTTCGCTTCTAACTCCTAGACTTCAGGCTAAGGCAGCACTTTGTGCAGCAGACGCAGGTTGCCTAAAGTTGAGGAACAGACAAAAGCCGTACTGCGCAGTGACCGCCATCACAGCGCGGCAGCACACGGTCAGTCCAAGGGTCACAGTTGACCCTGAGGGCAGTGAGATGCAAGCCTGCCCGCGCCTTGCCACCGCCCATCCCCGCGCTGCCCGCACTCACCCGCTGGAACAGGCTGCCCCGGCACTCCGCTGGCGCCCCTTGCCTGCGCCCAGAAATACCCGCACGGACGCGGCCATGGGGATTCGCCGCGGAGCCAATGGGAGCCCGGCCCACGCCGCCTGGACCAATGGGCGCACGCGGCGCTGCCAGGTGCCCCGCCCCCCGCCCTTTTCCTTCCGCGTGGAGGAGCGGAGGGTCGCGAGCTGTGCTGTTTCTGGAGCCGTGCGCGTGGGTCTCAGGCGTTAGGGAAAGGCTGCGCGGCCTGTGGCGCTAAGGAGAGAGGGGAGCAGTGTGACAGTGCATGCCAGAAAGCGGTCTGTTCGAGAAGCAGCGTGTAACGAAATAGGATATGCGAGATACGAGCGAGGCAGGGCCGCTGTTCTCCCAGTCCCGGGCTGGCCCTGCTTGCTCGGTTCCCTCAGCGCTGCCGCCCCGTTCCCGCCCGGCCCCCGCGGGACGCGGAGTGGCATAGTGCGCAGGCGCGGTGGCGGCTTTCGTTAGGAAGCGCTGCACCACGTGACTTCGGGGAAATGCTCCCGGTGCCCAGAAGGGGCCGGTTGGCGGGAAGGCGAAACCGAAAGCTCTGGCGTTGTCCCCGCCCCGCCACAATCCGTGTCCGAACTGCGGGCGGAGAAACCTTCCCACGGAGACAGGGTTGGAAGGAGCACTATGTTCATCTAGGACAACCGTCAGCTCGTCACCATTGTGCCTATTAAACGTGTCCCTCAGTTCCACGATTCTTGAGCACCTCCAAAACTGAACCTGAGCTCAGCACAGAGGGATACTCACCTCCCTGCCCCTCCTGGTTGTGCGATCTTTGATACAAACCAGGATGCCATCGACCTTTTTGGCAAATTGAACACACTGCTGGCTTGTGTTCACCTGGCTGTCCATTAACACCCCAAGATCCTATTGCTCCATGGAGCCTTCTAGCTGACCTGCCCCAAGCCTTTAGCACTGCTTGGGGTGTTTGCAACTGAAATGCAGGATTTTAGCATTTAGGCTTGTTAAAACTCATTGGCTCAGCCCAGCGATCCAACCTATCCAGATCCCTCTGTAGGGCCTTCCTCAAGCAGATCAAGACTTCCTCCCAACTTAGTGCTACCTGTGAACTTATGAGGATGCCCTAATACCAACCCGCCGAGGAACACAACTTCTAACTGCTGGTCACCAGCTAGACTTAACCCCATCCACCACTGCTCTGTGGGCCCAGTCCTCCAGTCGGATTTGATCCAGTGAAGAGTACTCCTGTCCAGGCCGCAGGTTGGTAGCTTCTCCAGGAGAATGCTGTGGGAGACAGTCTGCCTGGGCTTCATAAAGACTTTGACATTGTGTCAACTGCCTTTCCCTCCGCCACCAGCTGTGTCACTCAATTGTAAGAGGAGATGAGGCTGCTCAGGCAGGATCTGCCTGCTGTGAACCCATGCTGGAGCCTGCTCTGATCTTCTGGTTATCCCACACAGGTGACGTGATTCCACTCAATATGATCTCGTCTATGGCTTTTCCCAGTTCTGAGGTCAGGCTGACAGGCCTGTAATTTTCTGGATCCTTTTTCTGACCTTGTAGATGGGAGTCATGGTGGCAAGTGTTTACAGTGAAGAAACCTCAGGGTGTTGAGCCCCTGCTGCGCAAGCTGCAGCACCATGGGTGGGGTAGGAGTCCTGTCTGGGCCGTGGAGAGCAAGGCAGGCATGGAAATCCCCAAGGGTGGCCTTTGCCTCTGCTTCCTGTGCCGTCTGTGTACAAGGAATACACTGAAAGATTGTACAACTATATCTCTGGCTGTTAATTTATGAACTATAACCCAGATTTCTATCCAACGCAGAAACTTGCAGGACTGCTTACAAGCGGCAGGCAGTTGAGTGTTTTAATTGTTCCTGGTGTTTGGCCAGCTGAGTTTTCATCCCAGTAAATATCTTGTGATGTAGAGGTTTCATCTTGATTGGAACTGACTTGTTAGGACATGCAGGGTCTTGTTTATTCCCATCTGCTGTGTGAATGGTCAGTGAGGTATATAAACTTAATGGGGGATGTTTGGGTCCTTTTTGGTTTAGTTTGTATCTCCCACTCTCCTCAAACAGAGGAAACTTCTTAGCTGATGGAAGATATGTGTAAATAAAAGGTCTGCTGGTAAGCTTTTTGTTTGGAAGCCCTGAGTACTGGTATGAATGTGAGTGCTTTATAAATAAAGCCAATAGGAAAATGGTAATAAATCTTTAGATTTAATCTGAAACCTTATGGTAGGGCAGGATGCAAAGCACAGCACAGTTCTGTTGGGTTCTTTTCCTGTTATTTTTGACTTTGCAGCTGCAAAACCCAGTGAAAGCACAAGCGCTGTTAGTGAAAGTACTGGAGAGTAAATGTCATCTCTTTTAGCAGTGTCTGAGAGTGTCCCTTTTGAAGTGCTTTTCTCTTTCTTCACGTTTTAGTTCCTTCCTCTGAGCCCTTGTCTTATAAAAGGACAGTGTGTGTGTGTGTGTGTGTGTGTGTGTGTGTGTGTGTGTGTAAGAACACTTGATCAGTATATGTTTATTTTAAAGAAAGTCACTTTTGTCTCTTCAAAGTAGCAAACAGAGCTGAAATAGTGTGCCTTCCAATTAGACCAACAAAGAAAACTAATACCAAAACCTGATCCGCAATCCTATTCAGCCACATGAGAAGTAATTGAATTGTGCAAGGAGCAGAAAGGAAAGGAAGGAAGAGTGATTCACATGCTGTCTGCACCTTTTGTTTTTAAATTATTTTAAACTGCATTTTTCATGACCTTTAGATGGGCAGAATCCATCTTATTAAGATGGCGAAAACAGGTCAGAATAAAGAAGTATACAGCGTGAGGTGAAGTTTACTTTGTTGCTGTTGAAGTCTTGTGGTGCTGTGGTTTGGACTTGTGCTCAACTGAAAGAAGTGGTCTTGAAGGTCTTTTCCAACATACACGATAGGTGATGCAGGTCTATATTTTTATCTTGGAGAATTCCACAGAAATCCAGGTGTCCAACTTTAAGCCAAAACTCTTTTTATTCGTACTGGTCATATAAATTACAGTTGTTTTTAGACATATATACACAATAGTCATTGTTAATGGGAAAATAATTTCTATGAGATGTTTTGCAAGAAGAAATATGATTCTGCAGCTAGCTTGGAATCACTGAAACTGATCAACTACAGAGATGTTTGGTCATGCAATATCTAGTCTGATATTTCAGCAATGCCCAAAAAGAATTTCTCTCCATTCTAATAGAGATGTTGCTTGCTAACGTCAATGGTATGGGGGGGGGGGGGGTAAAGAAGAGAAATGAAACTGAAATCTAGGTCTGACTGATGCAAGGGGATTGTTTTCATCCCAAGTGTCTGTATTATTTGCGCTTCAGCATCTGCAGCTCACGCACTTACTGATGTCTGTGTGTTCAAAGAACTTTGTACGCATTAGCCATTTATTTTGCACATTAGTTAAATCTGAACGAGGCTGCATGCGTGAAAGACAACGGCCCTGGAATGGCCGTTTTATTATTCTATTAACAGAATGTTGAGGGATAATAGTGGGAAAAACAAACAGATGAACCAACATTAATCTATGCCAAAATAAGCATAAGGAAATGCTTTTCAAAGGCGGTGTAAAACCAGTTATCCTGCTTATCAAATGAGACTCTGACAGGCATGTAACATTGTTATGTATCACTGATTGGCCCGTGGACAGAAAATGCTGTAGCTCCTGGGTAACTGTTTTCTGAAACTGTTCTTCCTAGCCTGCGTGTACCAGATAGTATCCCAGCTTTTCCTAGTGTTGCCTTCCTCTCTCTCAGAACTTCTGCTGTGGTGATAATCTGTGCTCGAGGTGGTTCATCTTGAGAAAAAAATAAACCCAGAATGTAACTGAATTTGGAGGGTGAGAATCTTCACTTTAAAATAGAAGCTAAACTGAGGGTATATAAAGAGATGATTAAGCCAATGTAATATAAACTGATTTCCTCAAGTACCTTAAAGTCTTTAGTTGTCCTTATATGCTGTTATCAGAAGCAAAAAAAAAAAAATAAAAAAAAAAATTAAAAAAAAAAAATATCTGTTCTTATACTGTTGTATTTACAATTATAAGGTCAGTAATTCCGCAGGTAGAAATTCATACCTACTGGACCCCACTGGAATCAAATGACCTGCGAGTGGGGATGGATATGGCCTTTTATCAGTGTAGGTAGCAGTCTCAGGTGGCTATGTGTAACCTCTAGGAAGAAAATGTCTGTTTTACGTGGAACTGAGAACAGGAGGAGGCCCAAAAATAGCATCATAATGGTTTCCAGGAAATAGTGATTTACAGTGATGGCAGAGAAGATATTTATTATGCTTCATAACCCATGCAGTGTCCACACGATTGCTTATTTTTCCAATATGTGAACTTCAGTCAGTTGAGTAAGGAGAGCTCAGCTAGAAGGAAAAAAGAGAAGATCAGTCTCAGGGCAGTTACTGCTGCTCGTTCAAGAGGAGTTGCACATCTAATCTCAATGTAGCTGTAGTATCATCTTGACAGCTCTTAAGACTCTAAAGATGTCTTTTC